AGGTGCCAACTCACCTGGCCTCCCTGCCTTCATGTTGGGGGATCTAGCTGAGGGACAGACAGCAGTTTTTGCCCAAATGACTGGCCATTCTTTTTGTGACTAATTGTGCATTCTGTAGCAAAAGTTTGAGATCATTTCTAGGTTTATCTATTTATTCCCCTTTCTACGTTCGTGTAACCCTATACATTTCATTATATACTTGGCAGTGGTAACTCCATACCCTAATTAGGGTTGCTGTGTGAGGTAGGAGTGATGCAGGACCCAGGATGTCTGCTTAAGGCTTCCCCACTTCTCAGAAATCTGTGTGTGGTCAGCAGCTGGCTTTCCCAGCCCAACTGGATGCGTTTCTGCCTTATCTTCATTCCTAAGGCTCACACTTCCCTTGCCCACTTCATCAGTTCTCCCTGGCTCCAGTTTGAGGGATTATGTTGTTATTTTATCATGGGAGTTGCAGGGAGCCGCTTTTCTGGTTAAAGTCAAAACTTCTTCTCAGATCTTGCCTTGCTAACTAAAGTTCATAGGCGAGTACAGCCTCTTGCTCAGATTATGGGTCTGTCTTTTTACTATGTGACCTTGGGCCAGGGATTTAACCAGTTTGTGACTTGTTTGACCTCTCACCTTTGAAATGGGGATACGTTTCTAAGGTGCCCAGATGGGTTTGGGAGAAGGACTTGGGGTGCCATCCCTGTTGCCATGGTGCACGGCTGGGCAGAGGCACGCAGGGCTGGCCTTTGTGCTCTTCTTGGCAGCTCCCTACCGGTATGACATGTTTATTGTTTCATGACCCCTCTAGACCACTCTCATTCCAGTGCTCACAGGAGCCTGGCTGGGGCTGTCCCCCTTTGGGGTTCCAACAGGACCTACTGGGATCTCTTGCAGTGCATCCTGAGGAGCGGGAGCAAAGACAATACTCAACATTTAATCACAGACTCTGTTCACCGAGAGCTCTCCATGTGGCTCTTCCACTGAAGTCGAGCTTGTCTTCAGAAAGCAGTCTCCCTGTGATAGGGTTGATGAGGGTGGTGGGGTTGAGCTAACTGAGGAGGGAGGGCTAGTGAGGGAGCAGGGGCCCATTCTTGAGAAAATTCAGACGTCACACCTCTTCTCTGAACTTTGCGTGGCTTCCCATTGTGCCCACAGTAAATGCCACAGTTCTTGTTTGTTAGGCGTCGACTCATAGTAAACAAAATAACAGAACAAAGTGCCGCTCGGTCCTGCGCCGCTGTCACGATCCTGTCTGTTTGAGCCCATTGTTGCGGCTGTCGCCCCACTCATCTCTTTAACCCTCTGGTGTATTAACACGATGACCTTTTCTAGCGATTGATCCTTCTGGACGACATGTCCAAAGTATTATATTTTTGCAAATAACTTGCCCACACAAGTAACAGGACCTTGCATGTAATGTGCTTAACATGCATAGGAAATTCATACCTGAGAGGGTTGTGTGGTTTGCAAAAAATTGAACAGTGTGTGCATTATTTGTGTAAAATCATGGTAAGTGAGCTAAAGTCCCGCCATCTTGGCTTTTAAGGAGCATTCTGGTTGTATCACTTTCAAAACTGCTTTTCCGATCATTGTGCTGCAGTGGAAGCCCCAGCCCTTACAGTGACCACTAAGCCCCTACCGGCCCCGCCACGCCTTCTCTTTCTGAGTTTTGCTTCCACTCGAATGTGCCAGGCACACCCCTTTCCTGAAGCCTTTGTGCCGACTGGTTCCCATGCCTGGAACGTCCTTCCTTTAGTTAGATCAGGGGTGGGGAGTGTTCAGCC